ACCTTCAACTTCTTATCATTTCCCTCTGCCCATTCTCTTCCTTCTCGTAACCATGGTTTCCTCTTTACTGGCATTTTCTCCTGAACTGTGCTTAAAGCCATGGCAGAATACTGGTAATTCTTCTAACAAACTTAAAATTCCTTCTGGGCTTAATAAAAACAAGATCCAAGCTGTAGTACGGTGCAAGAAAAAGGGAGAAATATTTCATAGTTCATTGAAAAATGGACATTTACGCACTGATTTTCCACCCTTTAGTAAAGTCTTGCCACAGAAGTCCGTGATTCCTATTGCTGTCTCTCTTTCTGTTTTTCTATGGTCTGGTTCAGGTAATTTTGCTTATTCCTTTATTTATGAATTTATTTTTATGGTCTCTTCTAATTTTTCTTAAACTGGCATTTACATTTGCATATGAATTTCGGATTTTTGTGTTTATTCTTTAAAATTCTCTGCACTTGCAAAAAATTTCGTACATGTACTACCAGTACAAATATTATGCAGCTGTATCATAATTCATATGTTGATTTGAAATTGATTTGGTAGTTAATTGCTTATGGATTCATATGTATTAGACCATCTCCAGCCAATATCATAAAAATGGTGCAGATTTCACACCATCTTATTCAGTCTTCTCCATACTATTACACCCCAAAAATTTATTCGTTTCTCCTTATTTTTTATTCTCAACAATTTTACACCTAATTAGTATTTTATGCCATTTTGAAATTTGGTTGGAGATGCCCTTATGTTCGTGTAAATTTAAGGCCAATCCAAATTGCATCAAATTGACAGTTTTAAAGGGTATTTCAACCTCCCTGAATCTGTTAATCATAATCCGATATCACATCCAAATATTCAGTCATTTTACACAATAAGATTATTATTCTACTCATTTTTAGCCGCCAAAAATTTGGCATTTTTTGCTATGGTATGATTAGTATTTTTGGAATGACCAAGGATGGCTCAATGACCTCACAGCTCTTAACCACAAGCATTGTGCTAATATTGTACTGTTAAAAGAAAAAGAAAGAAGTTTTATTGCTTCTGGCTGGAACGATTGTGAGTGATAAGAATATTACTAATGTCTTATAAAAAAACTGCTCCAGTGATAAAATTGTCCATTATTTGCTAAAAGAATCGTGATTGAATAAGTTTATTTTCTGTGCAAGTTTGGAAACTTGTTACAACGAGTTGCAAGCATTTACAGATTGCAATCAGTGATCTTGTAATCTTGGTTCACAACTTTATTTATTTGATGCAATTTTGTATATTATACAATATATTTTTTTTTTCTGGTGGCTCTTGCTTCTATTTTTCTTCTTTCCTTTTCGCACTCGTTCATGTTAGTTATAATATGTGCTGGAATATGTGCCAAAAATATGAACTTTCTTAAGTTTGCAGCTCATGCTGGATTTCTCTCGGGTTTCTCTGGGATAGAATCAGTTCCTGGTCCTCAGTTACCTGAGATTGACTTTCTCACCCGCTTTAACGGTTTGTTCTTCCATACCATTTCAATGAGCTATATTATAATTTTCCTGAAATGATGTGCTAGGTTGGCTATTTCAGAAGAAAATCAGAAGAAGTACGCAGAATTTGATGAAAGATTCAAAGAGTCTCCCTTGCTTAAGAAGTTGCTTGAACAATCCAAGCTGAACAAGGAAAAGTAATTTTTCTTCACCTAATAATTTGCTTCGTGTTTTTTGAATTTAGATGATAATATTCCGAACATATCATTTATGCTAAGAAAGCAAATAAAGAATTGAGAAGAGACAAATAAATGCATGAATCGAGCACTTGATGCAGGAAAATCGTATTTACAGTGTTGTGTTATTTTCTAGAAACCGACAAGCTATTCAAGACAAATATTGTATTCGAGGAGCTGAGTGGGGTGTTGGAGACTGCTCGGCTGATGGTATGTCACCTGAAGATAGAGAGAAGTTCATTGCCATGTTGAAGCAGAAGGCTGGAGTCGAATGAACGCAGCTGCTGTCACATATTGATAATGCCCTTTCTTTTCAGATTTGTAGATCAGGTAAATCAACCTGTATATTACACATGGACGATGAATTGATTTCTCGGGATTCTTGCCCAACTTGAACATGTTTCGTATGCACACTGGATAAGGTTCTAACCTGGTTTTTCTTTTTTAATATTGTCAAGTACTCTTTAGTCTACCCTGCTCTACCGTACCAAACATACCTTAAATGTTACAATGCATTCTCTTCTTGGAATTGCAGGTATTTCCGTTAACAGGTTGTCTGAAGATCTGATTTGCAGGTTGATGGCTGCACAGAGAAAATTCTTGAAGCACAATTACATCGTACGAAGAATCAAACTAGCAAATTCAGAAAGGGAGACACATCTGATGCAAAGCAGGCATTAAATTATATAAGAAAAATCTAAAAATTTCAACTACACGTGGGTGTTTTCTATTGAGCAGCCTATTTATTTGTTTCACACCCTCAAGATGCTCT